CACAAGGGAATCCCTGCAGTACGTAGTAGACTGGATCCCCTCCAGCAACCATTCCCATTTCCACACCTGGCCTGTGCTGGGACTTGAACTGGTAACCCTTCCCAACCCAAGTCCCTACAGCGCTGAGCTACTGATAGAGTCTGTGGTGTCATGTAGGATCTAAACTTTATGTGTAACCTGGAAACTCACCTTTAAAAATCTACATTAATCGGGAGCGCCGGTGGCCTGGTGGTTGGTGTGTGCGCCCCATGTATGGAGGCTGTGGTCCTTTGGGCAGGCGGCCCGGGTTCGGATCTGACCTGTGGCTCCTTTCCTGCATGTCTGTCCCCACTCTCTCTCTCCCCCCGATTTCTGACTCTATCCACTGTCCTATCTCTAAATAAAGACACAAAAAGTCCCAAAATAAACCTTAAAAAATCTACATTAAGGGGGCGCCAGTGGCCGAGTGGTTTGTTTGTGAGCCCCAAGTGCAGAGGCTGTAGTCTTCTAAGTGGGCGTCTCTTGTTTAAAATCCCACCTGTTTCTACTTTCCCGCATTTCATTCCTACTTTCTTCAATTTGCAACTCTTTCCAACTCTTTCCACTGTCTGAAAAATTGCTTAATACTGGGTGCCTAGGACTTTTTCTTTGTCGCTGTGGTATCAAGACAGATAGGTATGGCTTGATTTTTACTGGTATCGTATGTAAGATTAAACTCCTAGTATTGTGACATCTTTAAACTACATTGCTACAGTCAACATGTTGTGTTCACAGGAATGGCTTAGAAAGAAAAAGGAAAAGTCAAAAGAGAACATGAAACTGAAGAAGACAGAGGAAACCCTGAAAGACAAAAAGAAAAGGGTGAGTCATCGCTTTAGTGAATCTTAAATACAAAACAACAAACACTTAAAAAACAACACACTGGTTTATTTTACCATTAAGCTTTCCATTGTTAAAAACACAAACAGGATGAAGAAGCTAAAAAGGGAGATGCTGTTGCATCATATGAGGCTTGGAAAGAAAAGAAAGCAGAGAGTCTCAAAGCGAAAGCCAAAGAAGAGCAGGACAAAATGAGAAAAGAGCAACAAGCGATTGAAGAGAAAGCGGAGAAAAAACAATCAGCCAAACAGGTATGATTCGTTATTCTGTAAGATAAAAACACTTCTGTGGAAAGATGTGATGCTGATCGGGGATTAATGCTACAGGTGTTTGAAAAATGGAAACAAGAGCACGATCGTCTTCTGAAAGAAAAGTACCGAAAAGAAAGAGAAGCTGAAGATAAACAAAAGTTCAAGAAACAAGAAAAGGAGGAAGAACGACAGAAAGATAGCAAATCTGCTTTTACAAACTGGTGAGGAAATCTTTCAGTTTCTAATCTTCTGTTTTGCATTGCATTTATTTTAAAGTGATTTAACATGACTGTTGTTTGTACACTGTCATCTAGTGATAGAAAGTTTATGTGTTATGCCAAAGCTGCCTGGACAGTATGAAGCAAATATTGTCTAATTTATGAAAGAACGAGTCAAAACCGTTGCTGTACTGTTCTGGTTCTTTCACACATACAAAACTCCTGAACATGTTCAGGGTGAGCTGCATGTGTGAACGCAAACAGCAGAAATTTTCACCTCGACTTTACCTGAAATATTTTCTGCCAGTACCCTTTTAAAATTTCCAGTGATGTCAGGGTGAGCGAAGCAGGATATATTCAAGTAAATTTACACCAAGCAGGCAGGGGGGGCGGCGTTTGTATAACTCCGAGGGTGACCCGTACGATCTTTGTGTATGCAGTGAAGCTGCTCATACTTTTAATTAATGATTTGATATTGATGTTTAGGCAAAGACTACCATGAAAGCACTGTTTCTTCATCAGCCATTTCAGCATTGTCCCTTTAACGTCTTGTCCCCCGTCTCCCCCCTGCACTTGGATTTTTAAATCGCTTTTCTAGTCTTCTGACTTCTCAAAGCGCTTTGACCCTTCCAATTGAGAGCTAACAGACTCTGCCACTGAGCTTTTCTGTGTGAACAGGTGACTCAGGAAGACTTCAAGTCAGTCTGTCCTGGCAATTTCAGGAGTGCATGTGTGAAAAAGGCTTACTCTACTTGACTCAAATCAAAACGTTTTCTAAAAGAAAAACTTCAAGCCATCTTGACATAGTGGACTATTTGAAATGGCTTCATGCAGTGGTCAACAGTTAGGTTCAACTATTATGAACTGACTGTTCCGTCACACAATGAATCAGCCACTAGATGGCAGCAAGAACTAAATGTTTATCCTTATCTTGTTCCCTGTATCTCATAGCACACAGGCATTAAAGTGTGCAGTGTACTCACTCCCATTTAAAATGTTTTCATTTATTTTTCTGAAAATGTTTAAGGCATGAAAAGAAGAAGGACGTTCTCCATGAGAAAGTTTCAACGAAGCGTAAAGAAGTCCTAACTAAAGCAGAGGAGGAGCGCTACATGAAAGAGGAGAGAGATAAGATGGCGTTAGAGATGTATGAAAACTGGCTGGTAAGTAGAAACGCTCATGACACCTGAAGGTTGTGTTTGTTTGTTTTTTACCAGCATTTGTATTTCATTTCTTCCATAAGAGTCAATTTTCTGAGGGTTTGTTTCTTTTTGTTGTCTTTTTGGAACAGATAAGAAAAGAGCTGGAACAGAAGAGAAGAAAAGAAGAGAGACGGATACAGGCGATACTCAGAGACAGTCCCCCTCCACCGTGGAGCCCTCCTAATAAAACCATACCGTTCAGAAAATAACATCGGAAATGTAACATACCACCGACACAGAAACTGTGGGTCGTGTGTTACATTTACATTTGTGAGTTTTTTACTGAAATGCTGTGTGCATAGTTGGTTTTAAACATAGTCGATATTAGCTTTTATATTTTATATTCTTCTCTGTTTAAGTCAGAAGATGAAGGCGGAGGAGTTTGTACTTTTATATGTTATTTGGGGAAATGTTTGTATTCAGAAGGTTTGAAAAATATAAAAGGAAAACGAGTGATTAGTTGTAAGTTGCAACTATAAAATAGTTTTATTTTTAACATGTAAAATGCAGATTATTCGACTGAGGCTTAGGGTTTGAATAGGGTTTGATTTCAGAGTTAAGTTTATTTTGTCTCTAAATTAAAATAAGTTTCTGAGCAACAAACTTTGTGAAACTTTGCAAACACTTATTGTTTGACTTACCTGCTTTAATGTATTGTTTAAAGCTCCTGTTAAGGACTTTTGGCTTGTGCTGATTTTGGCGCCCCCCTGTGGACAAAGCAGGACAGTAAATCACTTAGCTGATCTTGGGCTGATTGTGTAAGTGAAGTTGTCTGACTTAAAATCTCATCCTTGATCTGAAATTTAATGCAACTAAAAAAATCTTTGACGGGGAAACATTTAATGAAGGCAGTTTGCATCGTGGTGTTACTTTTCACCTGACACCTTCCTCTGTGGCAGGAATGACAGGGACATAAAATAACTTCAGAATCAGCTTTATTGGCCAGGTGTGCATACACACACGAGGAATTTGACTTCAGTGAACTGTGCTCTCTATGTAAAAAAAAAAAAAGTACAACATTACATATTAACAATAAACACAAAAGAAACAAAAACTAACATTTACAAGGCTAAATGAGACAATCGATTGATTTATCAACGCTGGTCAATTCATTCAAACTGTAGTCTTTAAGAAAGTCTTCAGTGCTACGATGACATAATGGGCTGATTCCTCCTCGCCTGCATGAGAGGAACGCTTGAAACAAGTTTCTACACAGGGAAGTAATTTGGATTTACAGTGTAGACAGCGTAAACTAATTGTCTTAATTAGAGACTGCTGTGAATGTCTGTTTTTATAGCCCATTATTAGGTCTGTGCTCTTACTCTGAAGTCCAATAAAAGACTTTCCCAAAAGGGACTCTGATTCTGAAAAAAAAGGTTCTGAAGCTGCTTGTTTCTCCTGAAGATGTGTTTCTTAACATATGAGTGCATGACTTCTTCCTTCAAGATCATTTTCTGTGAAGTTTCTCTGAACTTTATCCAGGTGTGTCAAGTGTTTGTTAAGAATGTGTGGTTGGTAAACCTAAGCCTTAACACGGCACTGCATTCAGAGATGACATCATAAGGTTGTTTTTTAGATCGTTAAGCTGTTTCGAGATTTATGAGAATACAAACATATTTTTTTAATTGCCTACATTTTTGCAAATTACCCTTGAAGCAAAAACTTAAAAATTGATTTTCCATCAACATTTTGAAAATGTTTTACTCTGTTACCTCTTATCTCCTTATCACATGGGTCTTAGTGGTTCCCAAAATGGGGGTCGGGCTCACCAGCCACCAAGAGGGGGGTCGCAAGATGTCTTCCAATTAAAATAAGTGTAAGTGTATATTTTGCACATGACATGAGACAAAGATGGTTGCTGCTCTTTACACATAAAGATGAACACATCTGTTTGTCTATTCATCAAGTTGTGTTTGTCCACTCAGTGCTGAAGTCTGTACAGGAAATTACCACAACAGATTCTGCCTAGTCTTTCTCACTTACATGCACCAGCGCTGTCGCTCCAGAAGTGGACCTCAGCTCAGGGGTAGAGAACGAGCAGGGAGGTTCATGATTGGTTCATCAAGTTGGTACCTCGTGGCACACATTGGTCAAAGTTTTTACAGGCTTACAACTGCTCGAAATGATTAATTGTTTTCTTTCCTTTTTCATAACACAGGAATTATTCATTTCTGTCAGGACCTAAAGACAATTTCAATCAACTCATTAATTAAATCATTAATAAAGTATTTTTGATTCTGAACATCTTTAATAGAGTATCTGGAGATAGTAAAATAATGTTTAAATGAATATTCACTTTACCTAATAACATGTTCTAAGCTGAATGCATCATCCACGATAATTTAATTACATAATTAAAAGTAACACATTTAAAAGGGCACATTTAACAGCGACGATCATGTGCTTTTACTCTGAAAGTCCAGCGCCGGAAGTGTCTCGAGTTGCCGGCTGGGGGTTGGGGGTGTCATAAATGACTTGGTGTACCTTGGCAAAACTGCCTCAGTTCAGAGGTAGTGCTGATAAAGTTATCGGAGAAGCTCTGATGCTGTGATTTTTTTTTTGGTTTACCCGAGTTAAATACTTTTCACATATTTTACAGCTTTAGCAGCGACTCCGGAAGCGACAGCTGCTGTTTCTACACGACGCATTTTTTTTTTTTTAAAAGAGGAGCTTGAAATAATCTACACAGTCCACTGTCGAGTTGGCAAAGGTAATGCAACGTTAGCTATCGGCTGCTAGCTTCGGTGCACACAGACGTCCATTCATTTGACTTCTCTCGTCTGTGAGAGAGGAGACACAAACTAAAGTTATGATGCTGTGACTCTGTAATGTTACCACTGTGAGCTCTGGAGCACAGCTAACATCAACTAGCTGGAAGGAAAGATATCTGGGATAAGAGGTCCTTTTTTTTTCTCATGCAGGTTGGACGTGGCTGGTCGCTATGAAAGGTTTCTTTATTTTCTCTGCCAGGTTATAAAGGTGCACCTGGAAACCATTACATGTGAAGACAGCAGGGGGGGGGGGGGGTGTTTAATTAAACTCTTCTCCACTGTAGATCAGCCTGTGTAGGTTTTAGGCACAGTAACATATCTAATGTTAATGCACTGTTTTAGATATTGTCCCAGTGGTAAAAAAGAAATGATGACTTAAAAGAGATGAGTTCAATATTACAGAAGTTAAAGAAAAGTTAAAAAGGTTACTAAATATTTAATATGGTTGGCTCAGAAATAAATCAAAGCATGATTTCATGATCAAAAAAGGTTCCAATTATGTATTTGTCATGGGGCTTAATTATTAACATACCAGTTTTTAAAGCTTCAAAGTCTTAGCAAGTGAATCTGTGATATATATGTTTATATGTGTTTATAGATAGATAGATAGATAGATAGATAGATATGAGGTTGGAGCAGGAATGTCCTAAATGAAACACAAAGGGTTTAATTAAAATGAACAAACTGGCTTTTATGATAGAGCGAGATTCAGTCCATGGAAGTAACTGTGTTAAAAGTGAGAAACTCTTAAGAATATTAAATATAAAAATGTAGTGGATGAAAGAAAAGTTATTCTACAGGGAAGGGCCCTTTTATTCAGGATGGTTGTAGACAGTCAGGCTGATACATTTGCTTATAACATGTTGCTGATTTATCATATTTGTGTATAAGTTAAATAGCTAATGAAAGAAAGTTTGACTGTCCTGATGACAAACAAAGTTTGAAGTGTGGAGAGGCGGTCTAAACTGAAAGACTGAGGCACTCTGATGTCGTTTAAAAATCCTTTATTAAAGAGGGATGTCTGTTTAAGCATGTCAGTCCCCTCTCTCTCTCTCTCTCTCTCCGCTGTCCCATCTCTACATTAAAGGCATAAAAACCCCAAAAATAAATCTAAAAAAAAGTATTTTTCTTTAGTCATCTGAGTTCCTTCTTTGTATGTTTGCAGATGTTCCAGATAAAGAGGATCTGCTGCATCGGAGCTGGGTATGTCGGAGGCCCAACGTGTAGTGTGATCGCCCACATGTGTCCAGAGATCACCGTGACCGTTGTGGATGTCAACGAGTCGCGCATCAAAGCCTGGAACTCCGACACCCTGCCCATATACGAGGTATGATCTCGTTACACTTCATCATCAAAGAAAACGTTTTCACTGATGTGTGTTTTCCATAACATTCTTATCAGAGGGTCAGAAAGGAGCGGTCCGGTTCATTAACAACCTTTTAATATCAGTTAATCAGTTAGATATCACGTATCTAGGCAACAGTTTCAGCCTTTGTTTCTCCTCCGTCATGGGCTGAATGAAACATAAATGAGTTCCAGGCTGCGCGGTGTCGCAACAGCCACCACAGGGTATTACGTCATCATGACTAGCGTGAATGACCAGTCATCGAGAACTCGTATTACATTTGTAACTGTTGGAGTTGTGTTTTGTTTTACGCAGTCACCGACACACCCTCACTGTCTCATTTTCCCCACTTCCTCTCGCTGCAGCCGGGACTGAAAGAGGTGGAATCATGAAGGAATCATGCCGAGGGAGGAATTTGTTTTTCTCCACAGACATAGACTCAGCCATCAGGGATGCAGACCTCGTCTTTATCTCTGTGAGTTCCCCCCCCACGTCCCCCGATGCACAAACACACTGACACACAGTTTCTGCTGTTTGACCTGCTTAACAAAATACATCTGACATACATGACCGGTACATTAAAGCAATGCTATGGCTGTTATTCCTCCCCAGGTAAACACACCCACAAAGACCTACGGGATGGGGAAGGGTCGTGCAGCCGATCTTAAGTTCATTGAGGCGTGCGCTCGGCGATCGTGGAGGTGTCTGACGGCTATAAGATCGTGACGGAGAAGAGCACAGTCCCGTCCGGCTGCAGAGAGTATCAGACGGATATTTGACGCCAACACTAAACCCAGCCTCAACCTACAGGTGTGTTTTTGGTCCATTGACAACTCTGGTATTTATAAAATCAACACACATGTGGACACGCATTGTCTGCAGTTCCTTGAGTGTCCACTTGAGCTGGCTACAGAAGTCCCACTAACACCCATGTTAAAATACCCGTTTTTACAGCAGAAATAAAAAATAATTACAACCTGGGTCTCTTCAGAAACTATGGGTGACATTACTGAGCTTGTTTTCTTTTTGTTTGTTTTTTCCAGTATGAGAAACAAACTTTAATTTGTTGTTTCATGAGTTTAATCAATTGCACGACTGCTTCAGGTGCTCTCCAACCCGGAGTTCCTTGCAGAAGGAACAGCGGTGCGCGACCTGAAGGAGCCGGACCGCGTCCTGATCGGTGGAGACGAAACGGCGGAAGGTCAGAGGGCGATCAGGGGCGCTGTGTGCGTCTATGAGCACTGGGTCCAAAAGCACGGATCATCACCA